CAATACTGGATGATAATATGTACACACATATATATATATATATATATATATATGTACATATACATAATAGTATTAGTATATCGCTTATTTACTATTACAACATTACCTAAAAATTGTCACGTTTTAATTATTTGCAGAAGAAAAACGGGAAACATAAAGAAAAAATATACTTTAATATTACATACTTTTGTTTTTCTGTAATTACATCAAACTTGCATTTTAAAATTAATACTACAAAAATTATTTTATTAATAATTCAAAATATTCAAACTTTTTTTTGGAAAACTGTTTTTTTGAATTGTATTGTTATTGTAGTAAATGAGCGACATCTCTATAAAAATATATTATATATAAATAGTATTACATAAATATTACATGTATATATTATATATGTATAAATATTGTTTATTAATTACATATATTCTTAATTAATATTATATATGTATTATATTATATTTATGTTACACTATATGTACTATATGTTAGGTTGTACACACGTACGTTATTGAAACGCTGTTATTTTAAACTACATATATGATATCGCGCGCGAGAGATCATATGTGATGTCACATCGTTCGATTACAGAACCTGGAGGAGCGCGAGCGTAAGCATACCTCGCAAAAGGACCAGCTGTCGCGCGAGCACAGGTTCCTGAGACGGCGGCTCGAGCAGCTGACGAACCAGACCGGCCTCCATGGCCTTCATGCGCTTCATGGCCTCCACGGGCTTAGCACGAGCGCGCCGACCGACTCCGTCGCCGCCACCACCGCCTCCGCAGCGATGCTGTCTAAGCGGCGTAGTATCTCTGAGTGCTCCCTGGGCACGGCATCCACCAGCTCGACCGGAAGCTCCAGTAACTCGGACAGGTCTGCAGGTAGCCCATCCATCTCGGAGTCCGGTGAGTACAGCAATGAGATTATCATTAAATATGTTAAATTGAAGATGCTTTTCTACCGATGGAACGTCTTTACATCTTTTCGCAGTCTTTCTTTCTGCCTTACTCTCCCGGTAGTCTCTTTTACGTCGCCCGGATGCAAAAATATTGGGCTCATGTTTTATTAAATTTTTAACAAAGAACTCTCTGTTCTATCAAACTAATTGAATTAGTTCAGAACTGTGAAATTACTTTAATAATAATGCCATAATAAAGTCAGAATACAGAACGTATACTTTTCCGTGGAAATAAAAATACATATATATTTTATTAATATATTTTTATTAAATAATATATAAACAATGAGATCATTTGCAGTTTTTATACATTACTTTTGATTGTTAGAAGACATTCTTTTTTACAAAAAAAAAAAATATTTTTTGAAAATGAAAAATTCAGAGTACAACATTTTGTATGTAATAATCTAATAATTATAATTTTCAATTGCAATCGAGCATAGCGATTAGCAATAATTTATGGCAATTCTTTCCTTATAAAAATTTTTGCGTAGTTTACTACGTTTCTAATGCAAAATCTTCAAAGAAGATCTCTACCTTCTTTCCTACAACTAGCTTGATTCCGTCGATTAAATCTTAATCGTCACGAATTAAGATGGAAAGCAGTACGATAGAAGCCACGCGGGTTACTTTATCTATGTCGTAAAGTCGAACGAATGAATCTATTTAATTTCCCGAAGCGTCATTGTTTAAGCACGGTGTACAATATGCACATAACAAACACATATATGAATGTACGCAATGATACAATAGTTGTATAATTATATTCTACCTGTGTGAAGTTGGTCCTACCTGTTCAAAATTTGAAAAAATAAATTTAAAGAATACATTTGTACTTTGTTTCCGAGCTTTTCTCAGCATAATTTTTATAGTTTTCTCTTATTTCTACAAATTAAACAGTAAGTAGGAAGATAACACGATATATCTCGATTGTTAATGTAATTTTTTTTAAATTGTTATACATATAACAATTTGGGATTATATCGTATTTATCTGGATAAAGTTTTCAAAATTTAGATTTTGTCTATGTTGGGACACCACTACAACGACGTATATCGCAAAAATGCATTCGCCACCGCATGAAATATTGCAACTTGCAGGGGTGGATGAGTTTTCCAAAGGAGTTCCTGGAGTAAAAAAAAAAGAGCTCGAGCTAGCGGAAGGCGAAGGAAATCGGAAAACGTCGGGGGTGTATGCGCGGGGGCGGGATGTTGAAATTGATGATCCCGCGGGAATATCTCTGGCGAAGCACTTATCATAAGTCACGTGTGCCACACCGGCTATTTTTCGAAAGCCACCTCGAATTTGCCGCGCTTTCTGCATTGGAATAGCGGAATTTATCGTAACTTTTTTATTCCTATCGTTAATTATTTTAAATATTAAATACACGAAAAACTATTAATCGAAAAATACGTTTTAATACTTTTTTAAAATTAATTATATATGTGAGTGTGTGTGTGTGTGTGTGTGTATGTGTGTGTGCTTTTCTATTATATTAATAATGTTCTCGATATGGAATCATGTATTTACATGTACCATTATGATTGCGGAGTAATCATGTCTCCATTACGAGATATGTTCACTGTGAATCTGGCTTTACATTTATGGACTCAAATAGAATGTGTTTTGCGTTGTAGCAATCTGGGGATAAGACACTCTCTTCCACATAATTATGTATGTATGTATGTATGTATGTATATATGTATATATACTCGTGGAATTATTTCAGGACGATTTCCTCAGGCACCTTAATGTTGTGAGATTGTTGCGCTTAGCTAAATTACCAAACGTGATAAGATCCCTCTTTAAGATTTGCTATCCCTGCCATTAGTAACGGATCCTTGTCATTTGCACGATGCTGCTATGGCTAAATGTTGTAGTTGGGTACTAGTCATACAAGACATATTGAAAACTTAATATTTGATCTAATCCAAAATTTGGGTTTATGATGATGAATTATGTATTTATTTTTTGCAATCATTAAATATAGATTCGATGCACTAAAAATACGAAAAGAATGATCGGTTAAAGCGGGAAAGGTTGAAAGATATAGAATTGAGAGAAAATAAATAAGAGAGAGAATTATGATACATACAGCGAAATTCAACATGAAACAGAGACTGAGTATTTCTAAACAAAGAACAACAAGTGGGAAAGGAAAGAGAGACTCTTTGACAAGTTAAATACACACATGTTCCATTGTAAAATAATCATGTACAGATTCTCTTCAGTTCGAAGTAATCCCTTCAGACAAATCCTTCCCCGTACTTGTCTCATAATTTCTTTCAAATAAAATGAAAACAAATATAAAATGTAGTATGACACAATTACAGATTGTAAGTAACAAATACAATATACACACATATATATATATATATATATATATATATGTATATAGCTAATCAATCAAGCTTTTTTTAACAAATTTTTTAACAAAAAATAATGTAATAATATTTTAATTGTTGATAGTTAAATTAATTATTGATGATGTATTAATATCATGTCCTTGTTGTGCATTTAATCCCAACGTACTTAATAAATTTGAATCTAGGAAATATCTATTATAACAATTTTGTTATAATATTCTTGTACGTTTAAATTCACTTTTACGATTATTATTTTTCGTAGTTAACGATTATTAATCCTATTATTTAAAATAATAATCATTAACAATTATTAATCTAAATAATGAATTGATAATATCGTTAAATAATTGTATTTAAAATAAGAACTTTTTGATATCTAACAAGAGTGATAATAAATAGAATTTTATTTAATATTTTAAATGAGAGAAAAAAGAAAGATGGATGTGGAAAGAAAAGGCAAAAATAAGACAAAATTTTCAAAAAAAAAAATTGCATCCGTTCGCACTTTTATTCGACATTCTTAAATTTAAAATAGCGAGAGAGGAGGAGGGACGGGAATGATAAAATTATAAACTATTTTATTCAACTTGGGAAATATATTTTATAATAATAATGAAAGAAAATAATCCACTTTTGTGTAAAATAAATTATTGATTTATTTTTTGAATGAATTTTTTTTAAGAGAATGTGACCGGTTCGATACGTATTTGAATTTTATTCGGCGAAGAGAAAGGAAAGAAAAACAATTTTTTTGTCAATTACACATATTCATAGTTGATCGTACGAAATGTAAAAAAATTGACCGCGAAAATTTCTCAGATTATGTTTTAAAAGTTTTCATATAACTTCGCGCTGCGCGCAAGTGATTGTGTATCTCTCACGCATATCACGTGACTAAAGAAATACTGACCGGTGTGACTGTACCACGCGCGCGACGTTACTTATCGCAACTAGGTTGGGACACGATCGAGACTTAATCGGGACCGCGACGACATGTATAAATAGACTGAGATAATCCATTCGCCGAGCAAAGCCGGAAGTTGGCGATTTAGAACTGAGAGAGATACAGTTTATCGGAGCTTTATCTGTCCCGTTCTATCTTTTACCGCAAAACGTCATGTCGATGTTGAACATGATTTAAAATTAATAGAGACATAAATACCAATCCACTTAATTTGGAATTGATAATTGTAGTGTCTAATATTGGATTCCACTTGAAATGTCTGCATCTTTGCGAAAATTTTGTTTAAGACGAACTAAGAGTTAATTATCACGGCCATGACGGATATTATTGTTATCTGCCGTAAAAACTGCCCCTCTCCCCGCCTTTCTTCTTTTCCATTTGTTTCTGATAAACAAGCGGACACGCAACAGGGTTGCACCGTACTGTTTGTTGTTGCCGTGTGATAACGAGAAATGATTAACTAGGAGGAAAACGTGACGCGCGACTTATTTTTATTCGCTTCACTCGGAATATTGAAATTTATCCCCGTATCAGGGAGAAATGGTCGAATGCATCGAATGTCTCGCGTGTTTTTTATGTTCCACGCCGTGAAATGAGGAGGCAAGGGAGAGGAGGTGACGAATTCGGTGATACCAGGGGTGCGCATGACGCTGGTTTTAATGAACTCTTTTGCTCGCCACTCGTGTCACCCTTAAAACCGCCGCTTTAATCAGTGCCTCTCAAATCGCGCCACTCTGTATTCATCACCCACTTCCGGCAATCAATATCCATGACCAATTAAGAAAAACAATTTCTAATAGTATACATTCTCTTAGTACACCTTATCTTATTTCACGTCTAAATCTTAAATTTTGTGTCAAATTTGAAATTTTATTGTATTTTTAATAGATTAAAAAATTGTTTTTGATATTTATACTCCGATCTGGACTACTTTAATCTGGTGGTTTTATTTGTCACTCTGTTTACGATCTGTATACTTTCCACTTGTGTTTTGAGCGCCACTGTCACCTGGACAGGTTAGCGATGTCGAGAACGCAAAAGGTAGAGGGGTGAGAAAGAGGGAGAGGCGGGTGGTGACGAGGGCAGATCTGGTTCGCTTAGTGTGACGAGAATAGAGGCATGTTATTGATTATGGAAAAATACCCCCGGCTCAGAACGCCGCGGGTAGTGAGAGGGAGGGTAGCTAGCAAGTGTGGTCGACACCTCCCTCGTCTTCTTCGAGCCGTGCCTTCCAGCGGGTGTCATGGCTACTGTACACCCTGCAGTCTCTCTATCATGTTCCTTCGTTTACCCTTTCTTCTCTTTACTCCTTCCTTCACCCATTGTTGCCCATCATCTCTTCGTCTGACAGTATGACGTCATAATAACGGCGCGTCCTTGCCGGCACTCGTCTCTTGCGAGTATTAGCCAGACGGTGCGTGCAGTTGATACGTCGGTGCATCTCCTTACGTCACGGGAACGCTTTCGATACGGGGAGAATGATACTATTTAAAATGCTTTATATACTTATGACTCGCTCGTGATGAGCTTTTAGCACGCCACTAAAAAAACTGTCATATTTACAACCAATAATAGCAAATTCAATTGGACGCACTCAGTGCGCACTGGTGCGTATCAAAACCGCCGTGCACAAATTGACGTAGGTGTGTGTTTAATATAAATATAAAAACAGGTTAAACAGGTGAAATCCTCGATACATTTTATTGTACTATCAAGTAAAATATGTATTTTATAATTGAAAATATTATATTTATTTTTGCATTTAAATTAATCAATGTACGACGGCTTTAATATGCATCAGTTCGCAGATGCGTTCAACCGAATTCGTTGTAAATTTAGCTTAGAATGGCCGGCTTATGCTTCTAATCGATTGCATTTTCTTTGAATCTTCTCGGATTCTTTAAATATTTCTTTGAGTAAATTAGCATGGAATTAAAAAATCCGATTAATCGCTTGAAAACGAAGCAACTTTGACAGATTTATGGAACGGATGCCAAATACGGTAGAAACGCTTAGAATTTAACTGGAAAGGTGGAAAGAAGGTAGAACTTCTCCAGAGGAAGACGATCTTCTCGCTATTAATTAATCTCTCGTGATAAATGTTAAGCTGGCTGCCATCTTGAAAGATGCTAGATGTGCAACCAGCTGCGCGCCGTAATAGTAGTAGATACCGATGCATAAATTTCTAATTTTTCGTAACAGCTCTTATTACGTATTAATTATTATAAGCAAAAAGAAATTAATCTCTCTTGGAACTAAAATCGATTTTCAATTTTGATGGTACATGTAACTTATTTGTGTTTGTTGTATTAGACGCGTAAATAAAAAATGATTTTGTCATCGACTTCTCTTCCAGATTATAACAATGTGGAATCCATTCTTTTTGTCACAGATGAAGTGGACGTGATTGGTTACACGAGCAATCAATCGGACACCGATGATCATAGTAGCGTACAGAGTAGTAGCGACAGCGGTGTCGCGATGTCCACCTCCAGACTGACTCTTTCCGAGATGATGGACAATCTTTAGGTACGTATATAGATCAATTAATTTACAGTGAATTCGGTTGCTTGCATTGTATGCTGGTGCACTTTAGAGTGCATCAGTGTAGAATAATGTAGACAACCGAGTTCGCTGTTTGGAATAAAAGTGCAGGGAAATTTTCTTTTGAGGGAGATCACATTAATTTAGATGAGTAAATCGAGTGTTCGAATTAAAATAAATTTTTACAAACTTAATTGCATAAAAGCAAAGAGTTAACTATAGTTGATCGCGTTCTATGATGAATAAAACACCGTATGCTAAATATGGGAAATCCGTATTTAGTCCGTTACGAGTGTAATGGACGTAAATCACCAAAGGGATAAAAAGCGGAAGATAGGATGACAAGAGTCGAGGAAGACAAGGGTGGTGGATGTTGGCAAATAAATTCTCACATTGCTTCCTCTGCGCTATTTGCAGACAAAGAGGCGGTGCGATGCGATGGCGGCGAAAGAAGAAACGATTGAAGAAGGAAAAGGGAAAAGGATAGGGGATAGGAGATAGAGCGAAAGGAAGAAGATCCATCGGGGCGTACGAAAATTGACGGCGCGCGAAATATCGACTCATACACACATTACATATATACACATAAAATGCACATTTAAATTCGTACTCAATGCAACTTTGTCCTTCCAAAATGGCCTGACTGGCAAATGTTAAAGAAGAAGAAGAAGAAGAAGAAGAAAAAGAAGAAGAAGAAGTCTTTTGGATATCTCGACTTGCGAAGATTTTCAAACAAAACGGAATAGATTTAAAAAATCAGATATGAAAGAGCTACGAGATACTTGGATTACCAAGGCTCAAAAAACATCAATCATGACGCAAAAAAAAATAGAAGAAACGTTATCTTTGATATCATCTAGCCTATTATAAAGAAGAGAAGAAGTCTTCAATACTTTCATTGAATATTGCGAAGAAGAGATAAATAACTTGAAAAAAGAAGAGACTAATTAAAAACTAAAGACAGAAGAAATGGTCCATTCTAAGGTTATTATATGAAAACGAAAAACAGTTTGAGAACAGATTAAAACAAAAGGATATAAATATAAATATTATCAGCTAAGAAGAACAACATTTGGAAATATTGATCGGAGAAATCAATAAGAAAATAAACCAACCGCTTTCAAAAAACTGTAAATGCAAATGGAAGATTTTACATTTTCCGAAATCGCAGTAAAGTCTGATATATTATGCATTCAAATGAAAATAAAAGAAAAACAACGAGGAGAAAAGAAGATGAAAGAAACGAAATAAAAGAAAAAAGTTAATAGACAAGAAGGTAAATAATTTAGGACAAAGGTAGAGAATTAAGAAGAAATGAGGAAAGTAAGAAGAGAAAAAATAGGAGAAAATTTGACGAACAAAAAATAAGCCACTTTTCAGAAAATTGATGTCGATGAAAAAGGAATGGAAGCATGGAAAATAAGAGAAAAAAATTGAGCAGAAAGGAAAGAAAAAAAAGTAGCATGAACAACTAGAAGAGTGTGAAAAAGAAGATTATTGTAAATTATCGAGAATTGACGAAATCATAGCAGCATTGTATATATTTTTAAGAACATGCAGATTTATTAAGACAGCGTGGATGTGCTGCAAGAGGAAAGAGCGAAAGGGAGAGAAAGAGAGAGAGAGAGAGAGAGAGAGAGAGAGAGAGAGAGAAGCAAAAAAGCTAAATGAAAAATGGAAGTTATGATAATGTTAAGCAGAAGCTACGATGAAATTCTTCGTTCCGTTACAGGTTTAATCCTAAATTCTTAAAACAAATAAAATGAGACAGTAATTGAGCATTTTGAGAATCTATTATTGAAATACGCGCCTTTTTGGTTTAGCTTTACATTACTGATAAAACTATAAAATTATTCTTAGAAATTTGTTTAAAAAAATTTGATTTATTAATTAATTTTATTGTTTTAATACACAAATTTATATTCATAAATAATTCCTAATTTTTTAATCAATATCATTAAGTAAAATTTAAAATAAATTTTAGTTTTATAGAAAAGATTGAATAGAGAAATAGGATAAAATAGAATTTAAAAATAAAAATTTATTTTTAGAATTTAATAATATTTTTAAAAATTGAATTAATTTAAAATTATTTTGTGAAGTGAATTTCTAAGACAAATTTATAGTTATATCAAAAATATAACCAAGAAAAATTTATCTTATAAAGATTATAAAATTATAAAATTAATCAATTAAGAAATTCGGAAGTATTTATCCGGAGCAATCCGCCTAGTTTAAAAATGATGAAATCATTAAAGTAATTTGTAATATATAAAATAAATTATAATAAAAATATTTTATAAATTTATTCATAAAATTGTTTATTTAATTCGAAACTTAAAGATTATATGCAATATTTGGAATTTAACTATAATATGTTAAGATTATAAAATATGAAATTATTTTTATAGTATAAAATTATGTATAAAAATTAGAATTACTTAAAAAGATTGTATAAATTATTTCGGTAACATACAAAATCATTTCCGATACTAAATCGCGAATTACTTTTATCAAATGTTATTTACATAATTATACAAACAATAAACAAACAAATAAACTTATGAAATAAACTTATTAAATAAACAAACCCCGCGCCGTCATCATATTCGCAAAAAAAAATTAAATCTTCATAAAACTAATTACCGCGTAACATAAAGAAATATGAAAAGGAAGAATGTTTAGAGAATGAAAAAGACGGACAAAGATAGACAAACGGTTAATTTCTTGATAAATAATGAATTGCGATTAATTAATAGATAACAACGCAAATTAACACAGAACACAAAAGAACAGATATACACACGTATATGTACACATATAGTTAAGTAATTATGATTCTAATTAAGTGAGCAAGCAAAAAGTATAAAAAACAAAGTATAAAAAGCAAAAAAAGTAAACTGATAATTATATTATGGCGTAAGTGACGTTTCATTATAAATATATATATATACACACACACACATAAATATATAGAGTGTCCCATATTTATGTATTTATGTATGTAGAAATAAACAAAAAATCTTAAGTGACTCTCTTCAAAAAAACTTGTTAAAAACAATAAATTTGTTTACAAAACAAACTAAAAAATAAACATTGAAGAAATGCAAATTATAAGTATGCGATAAAAGAAGAAGAAATTTTAAAATATAAAAGACTTCTAAAAAGTCACTTGTTATAAAAGAAATAATAGGCTGCCGAATGTGCAATAGAATAGTTAAAGAGAAGAATTGAAGAAATAGGGGACACTCTAATACATTACACACACATTCGAAGAGTACAAATTCCACAAATCCCTCATTGGGTGTTCTCGGGGCTGTTATCTTTTTATGTGACGCGTTTTTCTTTTCACGATCTTGGACTATTCCTAGATCATTCGTGAATGATCTATGAAGCGAACAATTAGATTGTGAATTGAAACCGATACAATTTCGCTGAGTTTGCATTTTGATGCTAAAATATGTAATTCTGATGAAATATGAAATTGTATGGTGCATTTTCTTAATTTTGACAAGATGTTTTTGAAAATAATTTTTCTTATCTTTTTTTTGTTAAAAATGCTTCTTAAGATATGATAAAAAAATGTAAATTGTTGGAAAATGTTATACTATTTCAATCTAAATATAATATATACAAATATTATGAGAGATTGAGCTTAACGAAATTATACCGGTTTCAATTTTTAATTCAAAACTGTATCGAAAATCAGAAACGTTCTTGACTTAAAGGACAAAAACGAATAGGTCCTTTTGTAAAATTGGCAATTGAGCGATAGTTTAATGAATAGACTGATTACCAAATATAAACGGATGATCTCTGAAGACCGACGTTAATTTGTAAGTTGAAGATAAACGTTTTTGATGAGCATATGTATTGTGGAAAATGATCCAGTGCAAGATATGTGCTGTTGGTTAACCCTTTAACTTTTACTCCTACATAAAGTACACAAAATAGGAAAATATATCGTTGAAATGCAAGGGCAATTTATAGAAAGTTTAAGTGGAATGTCTCTTTTTATCTCATTACTTATTAATAAATTTCTTTATCAAACTAATAATAGGAAACTTAATTGTTTCAACTTTTAATAACTGTTTTTAAAGTGGAGATAATCGATATTGACAAAACATACCAAAATTTTTGCGATACTAAAAGAAGAAAAAATTTTTCAAATGGTAGACGTTTGCTTTTATCAAATATAATAAAATATAATAAAATGATTCGTGTGAGATACTTACTTTGTGATTTTGTGAAAAAATATAAAAATTGATACTAGATTTTTTGTATAGGAAGCACATATATTCTTTATTTTTTTTATTTTATTTGTATTATTTTCTTCTTTAGTTATTTTTTGATTTATTATTTTTTATATGTTTCTATACGTTTCTTTTTCATTTTATTTATTCAGTTTACTATGAACATTTATTGCCGTCATATTATTGACACAGTATTATATTATTAATATAACATAGTAAAATTAATTGAAATTTTAGTGATTTAGTATTAAACAAATCTGAAATCTTCGATAAGATAGTTGAAATCTGGAAACTTTATTAATGTAAAATTAAAGAAATATGAAAATTATTTAGAAAATTAAGAGATTCTTTTATTAGACTTAAATGTTAAAAAATTCTTAATATACTGTAAAAATGATTTAATTTTTCCGTTTATTGTCTTTCTTTATACTACACAGTATTATATAATAAATAAATAGCTGTTAAAACATATAAAAATATATAAAACATATAAAAGTTATATAAAATTCAAATATCTTAGAATCAAAGATTAAAAATCGATATTTAATTGGATATTATGGAATTCTGGGATCTAAAAAAAACGTTTAAAAATTTCAAATATAATAATATAAGCTGCGATAATTTTTATCCATTCAATATTAGATACTTTTTGACATCGTAAATTTATTTAAATAATTTTAATTTTAATCTTTATTCTATTTATATACAGATTTTTCACATTTTGAAACTGAGCATAAATATTAAACATTAAATTGAACAATAAACTCCACGAAATATTAACAATTAAAATCGATTTAATTGAATATTATGGAAACATTTAAAATATTAACAAAGATTGCAAACAAAATATTACGAAAGGATTTAATTTGTTTCACTTTTTTAAGCTGAATGTAAGTTAAAGGGTTAACTGTTGGGAATAGTAGTTGGATTAATAGACGAAGAACGTAAGAAATACACAAATGCACCTCGATAAAAAAGAAAATGAAACAGCAGCCAATGAGAGAAAGATAGATGTCAGAAAATAAAATTGTAAAGATTTACAAGATCAAATCCCGCCGGAAAAACGACCAAGCCGAGTGAAATATTTTCAGCGAGGCACACCGCGATTTTTAATATTAAATCGAATATTGATTGTTGTATCAACAATCGCCTATAGCTATATTGCAATCATATTGGTTGTTGCACGAATCTATTGCGGTGAATACATCACAATTATGAATGGCGGGCTTTGATCGCGGTAAATGTGTATGATCCTGCATCTATCTTTCGGCATAAATTTGCAATTTTAATTTTAATTTTTTTTAGATTGCAAACATAGCTTTATATCGAAATTGTTTTATGTAGTATTTACTTTAACATGATTTGAAACATTTTCTTTAATATTCAATTTTATGTTTTATGTTATTAAGTCTAATTCCTAGTTAATAGAAAGATTTATGTATATTAATCTTATTATATTTATCTATGGAATAATTAATTAATATTATTGATTTGAATTTTTTAATTTGCTTAAAAAACAAATAGCGTTGGCTGTTGTGTATATTATCACTGATTACCAATTAATACACAAAAATAATCGAAATAGATGTGACACCGTTAATCTTCGTACGCCAGACAACAATAAGTCTTTGAATAAAATGAAAAAAAATGCGCGCAGAACAAACGAGGGAACTACTAAGAACCAATAAAAAAGAACTGCAAGAAAACAAAAAAGAAAAAGAAATAAACAAATAAGCACAAAAGTAAGCGAGACCTCTGCGTAGAGATCTAAATGAGCAAACTTTACCAATTAATTATAACTATGAAATTTTTTAAAGAATCTTCCATTTTTGCAACATGCACAATCAATATCGATTTTTATTTTAACCCTTTTAATGGCCAATGGAGAAAGAATTTTATTGAAAACAAAGGGATTCAGTAATAATAAATAATCCTTCTTTAAATTTTTGGACATTATTAATTACTTTATTATTAAAATCGTCAAAATAAAATTGAATTATTTCTTTATTATTAATGAAATAATGTTTTATGAATTTAATGAATCTTTTCAGTATTTAATTTTTTAAAAATATATTCCATAATTTTCAAACATATTTAATCTGTTTAGATGATTCTGATATTAATCCAGAATTTATACTATAATAGAAACAATCATAACTTTATACTGGAACTTACACTACATTATAATCATATGGCCTTTTGGGTTAAAAGAATCAAATTGCATTTATATGGTTTTGTGAGAAGACTCTCAAACGATAAGCAAATATTTAAGTGTTGTCCGATGAAAAGAGGAGTACATACATTTATGAGAAACTTTTTCTTAATATGCAAGAGATTGTAGAAAAAAACAAATGAATTGAATCATTAAAAGGAACATATTGGCTTTCTTTGAATTTCTCA